CACACCCTTGGGGATCATGGATTTTCTCGCTGTACATTCTCCGTACATACTTAGACTTAGTGCAAGCTCTCTTTAAAGTCCCAAGGGAAATAGTACCCTTTTCTGTCTCGTATTTAAGCTGCTCTCCATAGCCTCAAGTTAAAAATGCTTCCCTTGATGCTAGTGTCCTCTGGGCTCATCCCTTTCTTTGGTTTCGGAACATCTATTGTGTTACTTTTCAGAGCTGAGATTTTTGTGTCACTCAAACCACCTGGCTTTCCCAGTGCACCTCTTTCTTTTTCTTTTTCTTTGTTTTTGTTAATCCTCATCAGAGAATATTTTTTCCATGGATTTTTAGAGAGAGTGGGAAGGAGAGAGGGAGGGAGAGAGAGAGAAACATCGATGTGAGAAAGACATATTGTTGGTTTCCTCCTGCAGTGCTCCGACCAGGACCGGAGATCTAACTTGCAACCCAGGTACACGCCCGTGGCTGGGAATTGAACCCATGAAGCTTTGGTGTGTAGGGTGACGCTCTAAACACTGGGAACACCAGCCAGAGTCCCCTATCCTCTTTCTAATTCACAGGCTTTACCTGTCAAAACCAGAACTCTGGGCAAGTCTCAAGTTCTCAGTCCACCTTCACATTTTATTATGGCCAGAACTGGACTCCCTGCCTGTTCATACCCACCTTGGTCTCTGACTTCCTTCCCTGCTTCCATGAAAGGTCTATGAGCTACTTAGGGGCAGGGTTGTATCTGGTTGATCTTATATTCCAGAATCTGACATGGTTCTTGGTTCATGCCAAGTGCTTAGCTAATGTGCTTTGAATGAATGGATAGAGAAGGCTACCTTACCTGAGTCACTCAAACCCCAAATCTCACGGAAGCCTTTGCCTCTCAGTCCTCCTTGTTCAGCCGCGGTCTGGTGTCTGCCTCACAACTGCCTCTCTTGTTCTTTCCTTTCCCATGGCCACCCTCCTAACTCGGGCCTCTGGATTTGCACCTGGAATGTTGTACAATGTCCAGCTAGTCTTCCCTTTTTCCTTTTCTCCCTCTCTCCCTTCTGCATCCCTTCCCTCTTTCATCTCCTTTCTTTTCTCTCATTTAACATAAAATCGAGTCCAACTATAATAATAGTGCTGATAGTAATAGCTTCCATATATAATGGCTGTGTTTTAAGTAGACATTGGCTGAATCCTGTCCACTTATCATTATTAATCCTTAAAGATTAGGATCGTACCCCACAAGGTACATCTTATCGTCACAATTTCACAGAGGAGGAAACGGACCCTCAGAGGCAGAACATGACTCACCCAGGCTGCGCATGTGGAAGCCTGTTCTCTGTGTCGCCAGCTGTCTCTTTGTCAAGAACTGGGCTAGGTGCTGGCGACACAAGATGAGCAAGGCCAGTGCATCAAGGCAGAGCCCCTGATTTCTTAGAGTGTAGTGGAGAGGGAAGACAGCGAGAAAAAGGATGGGGTGGTAAGGTAGGTGCCTTGATGGACATATGACCCCAGTTAAGAAGGAACAAAGTCTAAGGAATAACTGAATCTGGCTGGGCTAAGAAGGCTTCTCATGGGAGGTGTGGCCTGAAGCAAGTCTTGAAGGGTGAAGGAGAGCTTTCCAAGAGGTAAAAGGAGGGGCAGATGGACATAAATGGGGAGAATACTACAGCACAGGGATATAATGTTGTCATGGATGGCGTGAGGATGGGTATGGGGGAAGCGCAGGGAATGCAGTGGAAAACCACAAAGGACCTTGAACCCCACAGTAGGGAGTTCAACCTTCATGTTTTAGGACAAAGATGTTGAGGGATCATCAGAAACTCTTAGGCAGGATAGGAATATGATCAGATTTGTGTTTTAGGAGGACCACGTCATAAACCATTTCATCAATGGACTAGAGGTAGGTCTGGTAGGAAGGAGACAGGTCAGAGAACTACCGTAGAAATCCAGAGACAGGATAGATGGGCCAGAAAAGTCAGGTTGGGGTAGTGACAAAGGCAAGATCAGAAAAAAAGAGTTCTTGATTGTGATAGCTTTTTGGTTTGGTTGGTCGGCAGGAAGAGGTCACTCATTGCACATCGTAGAGACCAGCAGAGATGAAGCAGGTTTGGGTGTTTTGTTGGTGTAGGGCAGGGGATGGTGGGAGGTGAGGAGGATGAAGGTGGTATGTTCAGCTTGCAACAAGGTGACCTTCAGATTCCCACGTGGTGACCACAGGCAGTTGGATAGATGGGTCTGCAGCTCAGGAGAGGGTTTCTGAGGAGATGCCATATAGATCCTACTCCCTTTTCAAATGTATTTAAATGTGGTTCCTAGACTAATGCACCACTCATATCAACATATTGAGGAAGTACCTTTAGTACTTCCTGCAGCTTTGGATGAACTGTTTCCACCTCACCCACACTTTCAGAGCCATCTAACGTAGAATTGAAACTGAGGCAAAGTTGAGAGCAGAACAAAGAGATATCTCAACAGTAGACCTCGAAGATTTTATGAGGGATCCTTTTGGGGAGTTAGAGGTCAGAAGATGGGAGGATAAAGAAAGGAAGAAATAACACTTCCCAAGCTGACCTCTCTGTCTATACTCCTTTCTTCAATGTTCTCTGCTCCAACTTGAGGCAAAAATCAAAACAAAACAAGAAAACCCAGCGAACTTCTGCAGAAACAGCATTCCTTGGAATAGGCACTTTTTTCATGTCTTTCCTTCCTATTGATGCCCTCGCTCACCTGCACTGAAGTTCAGCATGTGCAGCACATAGTGGTCTGTATGTTATCAGGGGCTTCACTCGCCGAGGTACAAGAAACGGCTTCCTAGTATCTCTTAGATCAAGGTTGAACTTCTTACTCTGCCACCTGGAGCCACTTTTTCTCTGGACCCTCCGGCTTGATTTCTCTGTTTGATGACATGCTGCCCAGCCTTGGTGGCCTGTTTTGTCCTGTGCTGAGTCATGGTAACACTGACTCCAGGAAGCGCTGACCGATAGGACGTTCTGTGACGATGAACGTGCTCTCCGTCTGTGTTGTCCACCACTCTAGCCTTGAGCCACGCGGGGCCACTAAGCACTGGAAGTGTGGCAGGTGTGACTGAGGAACTGGTTTTTGTTTATTTTAATTCATTTTTATGTACATAGCCACTCATGGCAAGTGGCTACTGTATTGGACAGCATAATGCTAGGGCTGTTCTTTCTCTCTCTACTAGAGTGAGGGTGGCTTTCTGTCTTCACGAGGCCCCCACTTCCCCCTTGTCCAGAGTGTTCTGTGAACGCTTACCCACTGCCTTCCAACTTCCCGCCTTGCCTCCTTGGTCTGCCTGCAGCCCCTCCAGCCCACAGCCTGGTCCAGAAACCCTTCCCAAAGGGCTGGGAGCGTGCACTCGTTGTGCAATGACAGGGTCGCAAGCGAAGCTTATCACAGTTATTATTTTCATTATGAGAAATAGCTCCATAAATAGCAACAGATTTCTTTGTTTACTTTATCTGGGAACAAGTCACACCCACAAAGAGAGGCTGTTCAAAGGAACTCTTAAGGAAAGTTAGTCAAAACCAAGTCAAACTCAGGGCCCAGCAGGCTTTCCTCCTTGATATTTCGGTCATTTCACGATATGCCTGGCTGATGAGCAACGCTGAGGGCTGAGGTGGGAGGTGGCCCTGACACAGGACAGAAAGTCCCCCTGCTCCTTGGAGCCCAGCTGTCATCTCCCCCACGTTCGGGCCTCATTTCGGTAGTGGGAGGTTTGTACTGAGCCATCCACACTCTAACTTGTAACACATGACCCAGTGACCACAGTCACACCTCCTACGCTGGCAATGATCACAGACACTCAGGAAGCACTGGGTGGATGTATGGGTGAAGAGCATCATGTCTGGAATATAAAAAAATTGTTAGTCAAGGCCATATATGGGCTGACAGGTGGCTGCCTTCTTGTCACAAGGGCATCTAAGCCCCTCTTGGCCAGGTCTAAGAGCATTAGATCCCCAACCTATGTCTGCTTTTGCCAGGTCATTCTGCAGTGCACAGATGCTTCTAGAGGGAGGTTTTGGTTTTCATGTGTTTGCTTTTGTTGTTGTTTTCGCCACAACAGAGCATAAAACATTTCTGAGAATTAACCTTTGAATAATACCCCAGCAACTGAGTTCTTCTGCGCTGAGTTAATTCTCTTCAATCTATAGTGTCTTTCTGGCTCCTGCTCCCCCCATCTCACTTCTTCAATGCTGTTAGAAACCTATGGCTTCTCCTATCTCCTACAGCGGTTCTAACGATTTCTGTGGGTCCCATGAAGCCAGAGTCCTCATAATCACCAGGTGGCACCTGTGTGCTTTCCGCTTCCCCTGTGTTGTCTCCTTAGAGTGACATAATCACCCAGAAACCAAGTGAAGACTCTACATTGTGCCCTTGCTAGGAGGGGGACCATCCCTCCCAAGTCTAACCTTGCTTCAGCTGCATGGTGACTAAAGTCACACTGGGCTGGGCCACACAGAGGCTGCTAAGGAGGGGAGAATCGCCGCATCTGCCACAATGCCTAACTGTGCCACTTATGTGTGTGTGTGTGTGTGTGAGAACCACTTTTCACCTCTTCCTGCAACTTGCTCTCTGTCTAGGACAGAGGTGAGTCTCTGTAAGGTATAGTCTCAGACCTAGAGAGACACAGAGCTGTCTACAGTTCTTTGAATTCTCTCCTCCCCAGTGTATTCCCACTGAAACCTCCCTGTGGTTCCTTCAGATCGTTTGCACAACCTTAGAGGAAGTGAGCAGCATCAAGTCTGTTCTGTGGGTTACAGATGGAAGAGCCGGAAGATAGCAGCTAACTAAGGAGAGGCTCTGAGAAGAATTTTCACTGGGGTTCCAGGACGCACAGATGTAAAGCAAACCCTTCGGAGCTGTGCCGCCAGGCTGTCAGCAAAATGTCAAATGACTTTTTACTACAGCTGAGTAGATGCACTCTTACACAGATGTCTGTCCACAGGGGGCCGCTGAATCAAGTATGTGTGGTTCCTTGGGTAGAACATAGTATGGCCTCGCCAGTCCTTGGTGGGAGGTGAAGGGTGACTGCAAGCTGGCACCTGGAATGAGGTATGTGACAAGAATACAGACCCCTTGTGAGGGTCAAGGGAGCCCTATTAGGGCAGAGTCCTCATCAGACAGCAATGCAGGATTGAAGGGCAACCCATGTAAACAGGTTGATAACCCCGGATACGACAGGAGCCAGTGGAAGAAAGATTCTCTCAATTCAGGATTTGAAAGTATGTCATGAACACAAATAAAGGTTGAAAACCGCAGGCCTACCATGAGATAGGAAAAAAGGGATCAAAAGCAATAGGGAAAGTTGTCAGTTCAATACATTAGCGATAGAGATGAAGGAAGAGAGACAGCGTGACGACGGAGTGACCTTTTGAAGCGAAGAGGTGACTTCAGGGAGCTCTCAGAGCTGATCTCCATCCTCGCAGTAGGAAGTAAAATCACCTGTTAACGAAAATGGGTAACATCTGCCACCGTGGACCAGAGACTGTGCCAAGTGACTCATATATGTAAGCTTGTTTAATCTCCACAACAATTCCGATGAGTAGGGACTATTATTGTCTTAGTTTAACCAGTGAGAAAACTGATGCTCAGGGAAGTTGTGTAGTGGACTCGGGTGAAAGGGCCGGGACAGGAGGAGGTGGTCTCTCGCCAGGCGAGATGCAGTGTGGGGAGAGTGGAGTGGGCTTAGTTCAGCCGTGGATGTTCTGGGAACGACCACAGCTGAACAAAGGCAACATGAGATGGAGACTTCCCCTGGCGAGGACAGAAATGGGGACACTAGGGCCTGGCCAGTGTGGAGCACAGTTCAAGGATGGGGACAATGAGCTGCAGCATGAGGCACAGTTCAAGGTTGAGGAAAATGAGTTCCAGTGTGGAGCGCAAGGTTGGGGACAATGAGTTCCAGCATGAGGCACAGTTCAAGGTTGAGGAAAATGAGTTCCAGTGTGGAGCGCAAGGTTGAGGACAATGAGCTGCAGCATGGTTTCAAGGGCACTGGTGAACTGTCTGGGAAAGAAGGAAGGTGAGGCTCAGAGGAATTGTTTAACGGGGACCACAGACAGGGTGATCCATTGCTGCAGAGGGAAGAAAAGGAGAGAGTTGTTCTGGATGGGAGTTACCGTGGAGACAAGTGGGGACACCTGGCCCTGGTCCAATGACAGGCAGAGCTTCTGTGTAAAAACAAAGCCAACAGAATGATGCATTAGATTGAGGGGTGTGTGTTCAAATTCTGCTTCTGTGTTCTGCTGGCAGATCCATTTTCCTTTCGAACATTTTTGCACCGTCATCCACAGGGGAGGGGCATCCTGACTGGACAGTGGTAGGAAAACAGCCACAGGAGGTTCTTGGTCCAGTAGAAAGAGCTGTAAACACTCCCAGTGGGCAGGGGACGGAAGGGCACTAAGTGACACTCATCAGGAAAATCCAGGAGGTGCCAGCTTCCTGCACGCTGCTGCGTGGACCTGGCAGGTTTGGGGGTGGGCTGGGGAAGGGCTCCGTTTGACAGTGGGGCCCCTCCTGGGTGAGGAACACCGGCAGCTTCCCGAGCCTCGGCAGCTGCGGGGGACTCACCCTGAACCCTCAGAGCAGGGCACTATTTTCTCCTCTCTCGTCAGATACTGACTCCCACGCAGGAAAAAGGAAGCACCTTTTGTCGGATGCTGTGGCCACTTCCTCTTCAGAAGTCTCCAGCCAATCTTTCGCTTTGCAGAATGAGGGGGCCGACCCCAGCTGCCGGACTGCGTGTGCACTGGGCCGCTGGCTCTCGCCTCCTTCCAGGGCTCGTCCGGCCGCATCGGCAGCAGGCAGCTCTCTGGGTCATAGGGGACTTTCTCTGATACAGATCTGGACCTTTGAGCTGGACCTGGCTGGGGCCCCAGCCACCTCTCGGCCCCCTCGGGGGTTCCGCTCTGGCCTCTCCACCCACTTTTTGCACACTGCTTCATATCTCTCAGTCAGTCTGCCTGTCTGTTACTCTCCATAGCTCGGTCCCGGAGCGTGATGACCGGTGAGCAGATGGCAGCCTTTCACCCGTCGTCCACCCCCAACCCACTGGAAAGGCCAATCAAGATGGGCTGGCTGAAGAAGCAGAGGTCCATCGTGAAAAACTGGCAGCTGAGGTACTTCGTGCTGAGGGCACAGCAGCTCTACTACTACAAGGACGAAGAGGACGTGAAGCCACAGGTACCAGCCAGGTGTCTGTCCCCATTGCCAGGGCTTTCTCTTCAGGCACACAGGGGCGGGTGTGGAGCGCACCCAGCTCACCATCAACTCCCAGGGGCCTGCCCACTAGGACTGGACGCATGTTTATTTGAGAGGAGGTTACTCCTTGTTTTTTCACCATTTTCTAGATACATAATCCGAATTGCAAACCTAACAAGGCGATCCTCCTCCAGGAAGCCCCAGGTGAACACTGGAATGTCCTTAAATTCAGCTCTAGGTCAAGGCTGGCCTTGTGGTCTGGATAGTAATGCTGAGTAGGAGGGCTCAGAGAGATGGATTTGGGGTCAGGAAAATTGATTTGAGGCTTTCATTTGTTTGTTCAATTGATATTTATTGAGCATCTGTTATGTGCCGGACACTGTTCTGGGTACTTGAAATAAACCAGTGAGTAAAAGAGATAAGGATCTTTGCCACATAGAACGCAGAGGATGAGGGGAAAGGCGGAGAATAAAAATAATAAACAACAAAATATATGTAGTTGGTAGAAAATCACCAGTTCTGTGAGGAAAAAATAGGAAGAGTTAAGAGGGTGTCAAGAGTTTGGGGGAGGTGTTATAATTTTTAAACAGGTGGTCAGAATGATCTTATGAAGAGAGTGACGTTTGAGCAAAGACTAAGAAGGAGACACAAGTAGTCAGGCAGATCTCTGGGGAAAGAGCACTTTGGGTAGCGGGAATAGCCCGTGCAAAGGCCCTGAGGTGGAGCATGCCTGACGTGTGGGGAACAGCAGAGCTAAGGACTGAGAGAATCAGAGGGGATAAGGTCAGAGAGGCCGTGGGAGTGGGATTGAAAGATTGGGATACAGATTACAGAGGACATTGTGTGTCATAGTGAGGACTTGAGTGTTTACACTGAGGATGATGGGGAGAAAGGGGACAGTCTTTGACTTGTGTTGTAAAAAGGTGGCTCTGGATACAGCATTCAAAAATAGATTCAGGGCCGGAGGAAGGAGGCCAAGGTGAGAGGTTATGATGTTTAGAATCTCAGTGGCATATGGGCTGGAGGAAAGTGACCAGATTCCTGATCTACTTTGAAAGCATAGCAAACAGGATTTCCTGATGTACTGAATGGGCTAGAGAGGGCTTTGATACTTTATCTTGGGCCTCGATCTTTTCTCCCTGCATCAGTGACCCCTTGTAGCCATCATGCACATGAGAGCAAAAGGGGGTGCTTTACCAACTACCCTGGGACCCCAGGTATGGACTCTATGTCTTGGGGCAACCAGGACAACTGGTCACCTTATCTGAACACATATCTCTGGAAGTAGAAGAGTGGGCTTGGCCAGAAAGAACTTATTAGGGAAGACAGACTCTAGAACCTTCAGGAGCCAGAAACAAAGCCCCAAGAAGGGTGAAGATACTGAGGGTGCATGGGAGGGGATGTAAAGAAAGGAGACGGTTGTTTGTAAGGACAGTTCTCTTTAAAGGCAGGCTTGAGGATCCGCGACACAGCGGCAGCCTGGTTAATCCGGCCCTCCACTGAGGGCTGTGAGTGTCAGTCACTGCAGAGGGTACAGAAGGGCCAGAGACCCCACCAGACTTCCTTCACTTTATGAGCAACTCAGTTCTATCAGAACCAAGTAGTTACAGGCTAAGGTGGTGGTACCTGGTGCGTTGACAGCTGATGCCGAAGTCTTCCCATCAGCAGAGGGTGAGGGAGAGGGCAACCATGCGTGGGCCTTCCAGAACCAAAGGAAAGGACAGTGCAGTGAGCTTCACTTCCATGAGGTGTGGAGGGCGAGAGGTATGTTATCTTCAAGCTTGCGTTCTTTTCCTAGCTTACCATGTAATTATTTAATTTTTCTGGAGCCCTCTTTTATAGGAATAAAATTAGACACTCATACCTGGCCTGCATTTGTTACAGGATCAAATGATATGAAACATGTGTAAGAAAATACCGTTTTGTAAAAGTATAAACTGATGTCAAAGGGTGAAATAAATGATTGAAGGTCCTAGTTTCTCTCCCTTACTTCTGGGGATTAGTCCTCTCCGGATTACCTTAGACTGGAATAATTAAATAAAACTGCTTCTAGGAAGACAAGTATGGTTTATTTTGTAGGGAATTTCTTAATATAATACATCAGATCAATAGGTCGATATCAATAAGTCAAGTGAGAAAAACCACACAATCCCTCAATCGATAGCTGAAAAAAGAATTGGGTAAAATCAAATACTCATTTCAGACATAAAAAGGGTGTTTTTGTTTGGTTGGTTGGTTGGTTTTTTTTTTTTTTTACGTTTTTAGGAATAAAATGAATTTCTTAGAAAGAATGCTTTACTTTGTTTGGATATATATATTTGATTACAAAAGTGATGTGTGTACATGGTTGGAAATTTATAAGATGTGGAAGAGAACAAAGTAGGAAATAAAAATCCCATCAGCAAAAATAGCCACCTAAATCCTCACTTCTTCCAGATTTTTCTCTATATGTAACATTTAGAAACTTGTTTATTCTAAATGCAAAATCAGTATAATAATATTCTTTAGTTAAATAGTTAACAATATGAGCCCTGGCCACTTTGGCTCAGTGGTTAGAGCGTCGGCCTGTGGTCCAGAGAGTCCCGGGTTCGGTGTCCGCTAAGGGCATGTACCTCAGTTGCAGTTTGTCCCCAGCCCTGGTTGGGTCGTGCAGGTGGCAGCCAGTCGATGTGTCCCTTTCACGTCGATGTTTCTCTCTCCCGTTTCCTCCTTCTCTGCCTCCTGCTCTATCTGAAGATGAATATAAAAATGTCCTCGAGCCCTGGCCGGTTTGGCTCAGCGGTTAGAGCATCGGCCTGCGGTCCGGAGGGACCTGGGTTCGGTTCCCGCTAAGGGCACGTACCTCGGTTGCAGTTTGTCCCCGACCCTGGTTGGTTGTGCGGGTGGCGACCACTCGATGTGTCCCTTTCACATCGATGTTTCTCTCTCTCTCTCTTCCTCTCTCTCCCTCCCACTCTATCTGAACAACAACAACAACAACAAAAAAGGAAAAATGTCCTCGGGTGAGGATGATAAAAAAAAAAAAAAAAAAAATGTCCTCGACCCTGGCCGGTTTGGCTTAGCGGTTTGAGCATTGGACTGCGGTCCAGAGAGACCCGGATTCAGTTTCCGCTAAGGGCATGTACCTCGGTTGCAGTTTGTCCCCGGCCCTGGATGGGTCGTGTGGGTGGCAGCCACTCGATGTGTTTCTTTCACGTGGATGTTTTTCTCTCTCTCTCTCTTCCTCTCTCTCCCTCCTGCTCTATCTGAACAAGAAATGGAAAAATGTCCTTGGGTGAGGAAAAAAAAAATGTCTTCAGGTGAGGATAAAAGGAAAATTAACAATATGTCACGAATATTGTCCATTATAATTAAGTACTCTCCTACCATGTAATTCTTAATAGTGGCAAAATAATCTATTGCACGAATATTTATAATTCATTTAACTAATTGCCTACTGGAAATTTGGGCTAATATTTCCATATTATTATCACAAACAAGAATTAAGAAGATATCTTAACCAATGCCACCCCAATAAATTTAATACAAAATAAAATAAAATAATATTCTTGTAGACTTTCCATATACCCAAATTATTTCATTAAGATAAAGAGAAATATATTCAAAAAAGAGTACTTTTATTATGCTATCATTTAACATTATTTTGGGATTTACAAACATTGCAAATATCTAAAATGAAATGAAAGTTACAGACATGAGCTAAATTCTCTGGAAAAAGTAAAGGAACAGTTCCACACTATGTTTCACACCATTCATGATTTTTGGATGAACTAAAGACTTAAAAAAAATAAGCTAGTAAAAATACTAGCAGAAAATGTAGATCCTCATAATCTTTGGGAGGTATAATCTTTAAGCATACAACAAAGACAGCACCAGGGAAAGCAAATTTAATTGCACAAATTAAAATATCTGTACCATAAAAACCAACTTTCTGGATGGGAAATATGCCTTTTAAAAATGCAAATCCTTTGACCCTGTACTTCTAGTTTTAGGAATTTAACCTAAATGGGCGCTTCACATTGATGTAGACAATTAAATTTACCTGTACAGGTTTTCACTACAGTGTTATTTATGACAGTGATGTAAAAACAATGCCCAGGGGTAGGGGCTAAATTATATTAGGGTGTGTATACACACACACACACGCACACACACTAGAATACATTTTAGCCATTGATGTCCTAAATTAATACTTGTTGAAATTGGAAGCTATCCATAGTATAATTGTTTTGGAAAAAAGCAGTTTACAACAAAGGATGCTCTGTATACTAATCCCATTTTTGAGGGGAAAAAATCATGAATCTATATTTATGAAAAAGGGTTGAAATACACATGTTAACTATGGTTATCTCTGAGTATGGGAGTTACCCATAATTTTATATTTCCTTTCTTTGTTTACTTTCTAATTTTTCTATGGCACAAATAGAAATTTATTGTAAATTTAAAAAGAACACACATACATTGACCCCTAAAAACTCAAAAAAGGAAGACACCCCCAAAATCTAAGAGCAGTCAGATGTAAAGTCCCTCAAATGTACTAATGATATGTGTGTACATTGGTGCAACCTTTCTACAAAACAATTTGGCCAGATTTCCAAAAGCCAAAAAATTATCATACCTATCATTCTGGTTTTAAGAACCCATCAAAAGAAATAATATATGCAGTGCTATTCACAGTGAGAATCGTTGGACCTAATATCCAACAAGGGAGAACGATTGCGTAAGTCATGAAACACTAATGATGGACATGTGTGTGTGTGCTTTGGGGAACCTCTAGGCTTGATAGAAGGCAATCTGTGCATTTTTATCTCTGAGTACTCAGAAAGGTCTGTAGTTCTCACATCATAATTCTCTTTAACTATAACCTAGCTTTATATAACTCATTTCGAAAGGTTTCTTGTCAGGGAAGTTGTTTAAAACAGAATCTCAGCAATTTGCCCTCAAGTCTCTGCTACAAGGATGGTTTTACATGAGCCTGGCTTAGTTGTCCCATAGTGTCGTCTTCTGCTTTCTGTGAAGTACCCAGGTGGTTGTCTACTAGTGGTGTGCTGGTAAATGCTGAGGTGGGGGAGCTGATTTGGACGCAGCATTTGCCAATTGCTGTAGCGTAAATACTCCCACGTGGCTGATTCAGGCTGCTACCGTGACATCACTGAACGCGGGGTCGAGAAGGGCTGCGCAGTAGCAAATGTTATGTAGAATTTCTACCACGCGGGTAGATGAGATGTGAATAACCACGTGAACAAACATCATGGTTAAATATAGTAAATAATTAGGAAGTGATGTATTCTTAGTATAATTAGCTTTATTTTTCATATAAAATATTTCAATGTAAGTTTATGTAATTTAACTTTTAATAGTGGCTGTGTTTAACAATTGGTTCCCAGAGTTCCTGGAAATGTAACAGTACTAAGCCAATAAAAGCGGGTTCTGGCACACCGTCAACACACCCCTCTCCCCAGCGTCATTGCTGTAGGATCTGTGGCTTCCACCGTAAACCTTTCCCACCTTCCATCTTTGTACAGAGTTTACCCCAATCCACTCACCAAGGAGGCAGAAGTGGCCATGGGCAACTTAGGCCCTTCCTTTTCCGGGACGATACTTTCTTCCCCATCACTGTCATGCTCAATATCAGGAAACGGCTTGCAATTTGTCACTTACGCCTTGATGTAATTTAGTTTAACTCTGATTATGACTTCCTCCAGCAAGTCAGTGGGACCAGTCAATAAAGCCTTACTGGTAATTCTTGGAATCCCACTGACCAAGGTTTAAAGGAGAGCTTTCCTATTACCTAGCTTTGCAATCTTGGATCAGCTACCTAACCTCTCAGAGCCTTATTTCCTCATCTCTGCAATAGCAGTCATCCTTCATAAGCCTTTCAGAAGAGTAGATGTGATCATGTATTTAGGACATTTAACACAGAGCCTGTCGTCTAGTAATTGCTCAATAAATGCTATGTACACAGTTGGTATTTATTTTCACTATTTTTGAGTGAAATGATTTGGTGTCAAATAATAGTTTAGAGAGGCACTTGGGAGAGGCAGGCACCCCTTTTTGTCCTTCCTATCCGGCAGTGCTCCCCTCTGTCTAAAAATAGCAAGGCCTTTTATTCTGGTGCCATCACTCACCCGAAGTAGCCCAGCAGCACAACCTCAGGGTCATTTTTTTTTCTGAGGCCACTACTATTTAAAGATGATGAGAGGACCGTGTAGGTGGAGGTTATTTTTAAGTAATAAACTTAGAGAAATGTAAAAAAAAAAAAAAAAATGCAGAATTCCCTTTTATAGACTAATCTTTTTCTTTTTCTTCTTCTCCTTCCCCTTCGTCTCCTCCTCCTCCTCCTCCTCCTCCTCCACTATTTTTCTCTTCTTCCCTTTTCCATCTCCTCCTCCATTTCTTCTTCTTTTTCTTCACTTCTCATTGTCTTAGACATTTAAATATTCTTTCAGGTTCCTGATCTGAGAGTTCCTTAAGACTCTTGCCTGTGTAGCTTCTTTGTTGCCAGTCTCCTTCACCCACACTTGCTTCTAGAATGAGGACACGCAGGTCTACTCAGCTCGGAATTAGACATGCTGCCCCCAGCAGCCAGTGAGGTGCAAATTATGAGTAACTGACTAGTGCGTATTCACTCTGTTCCTTTGCGCAGTCATTTAGACCTTCAAGTGTTGGTTTCCAAAGTAGAAGTGGCAAGTCTTGCCGTACTCTTGCTATAAAGCGTTTGTGAGGATCTGATGAGACAGGCAAGTGACAGTGCGCTGTGAGTGGTAACACATCGAGCATACATGTGGTGGGAGGGACTTGTTTTTCCAATAACATGTTCATGTGTAAGAGACTTTGAACTTACTTCTGAGATGAATTACTGTTCTGCCACTAACCAGCTCTGTGACATTGGGCAAATTACAGAACCTTTCCGATCCCCCGTTTTCTGCCTTGTAAATGGGCATAATGACACCCTGCTTGGAGGATTGCTGGAAGAACTAAATGAATAATATATTCAAAGTGCTTAGCAAGGGGGAAGACTCCATCCCTTTGAATGGCTACCTGTGGTCAGTCCTCAATGCCCCCTCCTGCAGCCCTGCAGATAGTACAGTCCACCCAGTCTCAGCATTGCCTTCATAAAGACCTGGTGTTTGGTTTGGCCAGAAAGTTGGGTTCTTGGAAACATGGGAAAAGGCAAGTGCTAGTGAAGGAGCTGGGGTTCAGTGCCTTGCTGTCAGTACCTTGTTCTTTTCTCCCCAAGAACCTAGCTTGCCGTTAGATAAGCTACCACTTGCTTTGACTGAGACCTGAATAGCAGAAGGGCCCCATTCATAGCTAGCTTTCCATGTTCTTCCCCATCCCATAACTATCCTGTCTTCCAACTTAATGTCAGCTAATAGGTGAGGAAGTTGCTGCTCCTCTTAAAGGCTTGGCTTTCGCTCTTTCAGGGTTGTATGTATCTGCCAGGAAGTATGATCAAGGAGATTGCCACAAACCCAGAAGAAGCGGGGAAGTTTGTCTTTGAAGTCATTCCAGGTAAGTGACAAAAGGTGGGACAGAGGTGTATTACATTCCCATTTTCCTCTGGATCCTAGAAGTCAAAGATACACTCAGTGAGACTGTCAACAACTATCCAACCAATCTAATAAGAATGCATACTCACAGACATTAGGTTGGGGAAAGCAGGAGGGGGTGGGAGTGGGAAGGAGGGGGTCAGTGGGGGAGAAAGGGGCACATCTGTAATACTTTCAACAATAAATTAAAAAAAGAATGCATAGTAGTTCTGTATATAGTCAAAGAACCTATACTAGCTCACTAACTAGGACGCGAGCTAAGAGGGTGTGCATTAGGTTCAACTCTGCATGTTTCACGAGCGTGGACTTGGAGCTGGGTGTTCCACTGGGCAATGGGAGGACATTGACCTGAAAAGCACACCATCCCTGCTCACTAGAAGGAGTTCAATCTAGAAGGTGAGCAGGACATTAAAATGAACAGTGAAACTCTAAACTGGGCCACGTGAAACTGCCATTTTAGAAGGTGGAAAGTGATCGACAGGCAACATTCTCCCGTGGTTCAGTGTGACCTGATAAATGACAGCTCCAACTTCCTGAGCACTTAGCACCTGTCAGGTGCCGTAATTCACCTGCTGAACACAGAAGCAGCACACTGCAGGGTGCTTTTCCCAATCAAGGTGCAGTTTACCTCCCTGGGATGCATTTGTGGCAAGGGGGATTTGCATCGATTTGTGGCAAGGGGAGTTAGTTTGCATCTGTGTGACTCCATCACACCAAGGCTGCTTCTCCCTGTCTGGTGATCCTTTGCCCCGCCAGGGACTCCAGGATGACGCTGCACCATGCTGACAAGGCAGGGCAGGCTGCGTGTCCCTGAGCACCCCTCCCCTCAGCTCCCTCCCACCCCTCCCCTCAGCTCCCTCCCCTCCCCCACCCAAGCAGCTGTGTGCATAAGAAAGCTGATGGAGAAGGCAGCGTACAGAGAGGTTAGCCATGCCCAGTCTGGAGCCATCCCGCCCAGGTCCAGACCTGGCCCTACCATTACTGTCTGTTTAACTGTGATCAAGTTATTCCATTTTCCCTGCCTCTGCTTCTTAATCTGTAAAGTGGGGAAACGGATGACAGTAGTGAGGACTAAATAAAGAAACATAGCCCTGGCTGGTTTGGCTTCGCAGTAAAGTGTCAGCCCGTGGGCCAAAGAGTCTCAGGTTCAATTCCAGTCAAGGGCACCTACCTTGGCTGGGGTTCTATCCCCGACCCCAGCCCTGGTCAGGGTTGTGTGGGAGGCAACCAGTCCATCCCTCTCTCTCTCTCTCTCCTTCCCTCTCCCTCCCTTCCTCTCACTCCATATGAAGATAAATGGAAAAATATCCTCAGGTGAGGATTAAAAATAAATAAATAAATAAATAAAAATAGAGCAATATATGAAATACTCGGTACAGTGCCTGGTATACAGTTAGTGCCATGTAAGTATTTGATATTTGGAGAGGAACAAGAGGAAATTATAAAGTAAAAGCAAATCCTAAAACTAGCTATGGCTATTTATAGAAAGCAAAGTTGTAAGTTCTAGAATAAGGACACACAAGTCTACTCAGCTCAGAGTTAGACACGCCCCTCACGGGCCTTCTCTTGCTTCTTTATCTGAAAGTCTATCCATCTCTCTTCCTCCTCAGAGGATGAGCTTATTTTTTCGGTCTCTCCTCTCTGGGAAAACTCACCTCTTTCCCACAGGCTTCTTCCGTTCTTAGGCTCCCTTCCCCAGCACAATTCGTGGGATGCAGCAGCCACGGTAACACGTGGCCCAGAGCCTGTGTTCCGTGTCCGGTAGCTCCACTGGAAGCTCCACCTGCAAATTCACCACGGTCTTTGCACCAAAGTCCGGTACCCTCAAGGACGGCTGCGCTAGGGTGAAATGATTTGTTCTCTCATTATCATCCACACTTGCAACAGTCTCCCGGGCTGCTGGGGAAATTCTTAGACAGATCTCTCACACACACTCAGAGAGTCTCATAAAGACAAACAACAATTATAAAAATTACAAAGCAATAGTAAGGCAGGGAACAATTTTCCTAAAGGTGCCATCATTTTCAAGGCTTCTCCCAAATGAGAGTGAAATAACCCTTTGTGGTATAATGCAAAGAATTTGCAGTCCCTCTTTTTGTCATTCTCTTGTGCAAAATGATTCTCAGGGGCCATTGCTGAAATGACCTTGCTAATCAGGGTCCTCGCTCTGTGATCACCAGTGTTAGTTGTGCCAAGGCCACAGAGAAAACTTCTCTTGCTACATTTTTCTTTATTTGGAGCAGGCAAAATTTTAGGGCAAGCTTCCCTCTCCTGACTTATCTCTAGCAGAAAAACTATCTGTTCTCCCACCCAAAGGGAGTCACCAGGGATAAGGAGGTATTTCTTCTGTTGCATATGTTTGCTTTTAATTCTCATACCACTTTATTAGATGGCATTCATTTATTCAACAAATGTATTGAGCACCTGCTATGAGCCAGGCACTGCTGTAGGAACTGGGAATCCAGCAGGGAACAAAATAGCCTGCATACAGCCGACATGGGAGGAGACTGACAAAGAAACAATAATTGAGTAATTTGTATAGTTTTTAGAATGGAATAGTACTATGGAAAAATGTTAAGCAAAGCAAGAGAAAGTGCTGGCTGAGGTGGGGATGGCAGTGGTTGACTTGCATTGTGAACAAAGCAGGCAGAGCAGGCATCGTTGAGAAGGTGCTCCAAGGAGGGATCTGAAGAAGCTGAAGGAGTGAGCCAAGTGCACAAGGAAGAGCATTCCAGGGACGGGAACAGTCAGTGCAAAGTCTCTGAGCCTATTTCACATGTTTAGGAAACATCAGAGACCGATGTGGTCACAGTGGAATGGTGACAGGAAAGAAGAGTAGGCGAGCCCGTCAGGGGTGATCGCAGCCTTTACAGGACCTGCAGGCAGTTGTACAAGGTTTAGTTTTTATGCTATAGGGATGGGAAGCCACGGGGAAGTTTTGAACAAAGAAGTGACATGATCTGATGTATGTTTTAAAACTCTTTGGAGTTGAGAATGAAAAGGGCCAAGGACAGAGCAGGGAGACCAGTGAGGAGGCTACTGCAATTTTCCGAGTGAGAGATGGGAACAGTGAAGAGGTGAGAAATAATCATTTTCTGGATACATGTTGAAGGTAGAGGGGACTTCATTTGCTGTTGGATGGGATGTGGGAAAGAAGTGAAGGTTGACTGCAAGGTTTTGACCTAAGCAATGAGAAGGATGCGCTTGCTGAGATTTGTGCATCTAGCAAGTTTTGGGGGGAAGATCAGGGCTTTAGTTTGGGACCTATAAATAATTACCTAGATATTAATGATCAGAAAACTGATGCTCAGGATAATTAGCTACTGATGTAAGAGAAGTAAGGATGGGATATTATAGGGTTTAGAACAGGGACTCCCCACTTAATTTGGAGTGGGGAGAGACAATATTAAGGAAAGGTCCCTTCCTGTCTGGTTTTGCTCAGCGGTTAGCGCATCGGCCCACAAACCAGAGTTGCAGACTCAATTATGGTCAAGGGCATGTACCTCAGTTGCAGTTTGGTCCCCAGCCTTGGTTGGGGTCATGTGGGAGGCAATCAGTCGATGTGTTTCTCTCACATCGATATTTCTCTCCCCCCTCCCCCCTATCTGAAGATAGATGGAGAAGAATGTTTTCTGGTGAGGATTAAAAAAGAAAGGTCCCTAGAGAAGATGATATTTGAGCTAGGTTTTAAAAAATGGATAGGCCTTCCTTTGGCAGGGGAAGAAAGGAAGGGAGGTCCCTATCTGACAAGGAAAACAGCCCAATATATGACACGTTGAACAAACTGCTTAGGTCAGAGAAAGTATGTCCCTGAGGGCAGAGTTGCTATTCAGGGACTTTGTATTAATATTAGGCAATTTCCCCCAAAGAGAGCCCATCCTAGCACCTCAATGTGCCCAGACATTTTTTTATAGGTCAATAAAAGATTTTCAAATTCCCTTTGGTTCTGGTTTCTTGAACCTGTGTTAATATCATTGTGCCTCACCTTCTTTACCCTTTGGGATGGCTCAATTCTGAATCTATCTTATCATTGGCTTATCAGATCTTCTGACCAGAAGGGTGAGTCCGCCGAAGCCTTGCGAGCTGGCCTTTTCTCAATGAGGTTGCCATGACCAAACTAAAGGGTCTCTCAGGAATTAGGGTGAACTGAGAAGGCATGTTCTTAACAACAGATCAGACTGGCGGGAAAGGATGCCAGATAAATTTTGGCCAAAGTCAAATTTGGAGCAATATGGACTCATGGAAACTCTTTTTGGAAGAAAGGAGACCAATAGCCTTGCCCTGAGTTTGACAGTAACTTACTAGGTACCAATGAGCGGATGCCTTTGCATTTCTGGGCTTGAGTTACATTATCTGTAGGGTAGAAATGATACTAGGGCAAAGGGAAATTGTGATTTCTATGGAATGTTTCAGTTCTGCCTTGAGACATTTTCACTTCTCATTCTGCTTTCGGAAATGCCCCGATCTCAGGATGTTCCTGAATAGCCAGGGCTTCCATGGACTGACATTTCTGGTTAGAACAGCTGATGATCCAGTGACAAGATAGATTCAGGATTAGGTCATCACAAAGGGTAAAAGAAGGTGAGGCTTGGCGATGTTAAGATAGGTTCAAGAGACCAGAACAAGTGGAAATTTGAAAGTCTTTTGCTTTTCAAAATATAGGGTTAGCGCAAATGTGGTGCTAAACAGGCTCTCTGAGGGAAATGCCATGGTGTTGAGAGAAGAATGGGCCGAGGTCTACAAAGGTACTTTGAAATTTAATAATATCTTGTCACTGAAAGGAGTTGTTATTATTTTCTTATCCTCCCTAAGATCCATGCTCGATGCTCTCCTTCTTCTCTCTTCTCCTTTTTTCTCCCTAATTTCCTCTGTTGTCACTTCCTCTCATTCCTTCTCTTGGTCTCTAACCCTCCCCTCCCCAACCCTTGTCATTTTCTCCACCTTTTTGTCCATTTGAGAACACCAATTCAGGAAACACTACACATACCTGTTTATAACCTTGTGCTCAAAGTAAAAATGGCAAAGAAAGTCCTAACAAACTTCATTTGTCCATTAGATAGGTACTGAGAACCACCATTTGCTGTGTCTGGTGCAGCAGGAGAGCAGTGAGCCCAAACAGGAAGCACCGATGTGTTAGAATGACACACAACGTTTATTGTCCCTCCCTCCCCCACCCCCACAACTTAGTTCAAGGGTAGCTTAGGAAAGTATCCATGACTGGCATGATGAATTGAAGTTTTCAAACTTGTGTGGGCTGATCCTGTCTCTTCTAATACTGAAAATGCCCCATGAATTTCCTCTTCCTCTTTGGTAGCAAATGGCTTCTGTCCTCCACGGAGCAACTCTCAGCCTAAGTCATCACAACTGCAAACCACTGTGGTCAATGGTTTGTCTATAGAACTAGAGCTTCAGAAAAACAAAGAGGATGCACAGATACTCAGTGCCACTGAGGATGAGTAGATAATGCTTTGGTGTTGTTTGACTGACTGTTTAATGGAACCACGGGAGCAATTCAGGTTCAGCTTCTCTTTGCGCCCCCTGCTCCAGCCCCTTACCACTCTCAGACCTTCATTATTATTACTTCTTCCTCCAGCCTCATGGGACCAGAGTCGCATGGGACCGGACTCCTATGTCCTCATGGCCAGCTCCCAGGCGGAGATGGAGGAGTGGGTTAAATTCCTTAGGAGAGTCGCTGGCATACCCTCTGGAGGTAAGGACCTTGGCAGGATTTCCTGGGCGGGTGTCTGTAACATCTCAGGGATGGGGAGGAAGTAGCTTCAGACATGACCTTTCCTTGAGCAGTGTTCAAAGAAGACCAGAGGACAACTCTGAGGCCATGCTCATTGTCAAGCCTCTAGCTTACTGCCCCAGGTGATCTCAGCTGGTGTCTGGAGTCCACCTCTGAACCAGGCTCTTGAGCAGGGAGGCAGTTCTGTGCCTTGTGACCCGCCCAGTGGGGGCTACAAGAAAAAAGTGACTTGGATGGCACACCTCAAGAGTGCCTGGCTCAGTCACCCTGAACAATGGCAACCTAGTACAAAAAATGATAGCATAGTTTTGTTAACCATTTCCCAATTCCTAAACACAATAATTTTTACGGTGGTAATCAGGTTGAGATGAGGCTTTTATTTGCTAAAGCTCTATTATATGCTATCCAGCCTTCCTCGTTGCCCTGGATTGTGAAGTGGTTGACACTTGGCTGTTTCCCCGGCCCCGCCCTTCAGGCTGTCTGCATTGACAAGGGTAGTGGATGTCGCCTAATCACCTGCCTGGTCTGAGTCAGAACACTGCCTCTGTGCCGGTACCAGCGTCTGCTGCCATGTGGCGCTCTGCTCGGCCTTGCACCGTGAACTGCTACACTCTCATAACCCACATGGGGATTTCAGCCTCCCTCCACCCCAAGGCCACCACCCCGAGAAGCAAGTCAAGCATAAGTCCTGTAGGCAGGGGAAAGTCCAATATTTATTTATTCAAGGAACGGGGTTTGGCTCTGATGTGGTATTTCAGATGTTCTTTAAGCCTCTCATTGAACCCAAAAAGTAAATTGTAGGATGAGAAGGAATTTGAAGACAGCAGCATCCGGTCTGAGGTCCCGGTGCAAGTCAGATATTTGTTCCTCCTGTCTGTAAGTTGGGAAACCTCGGTCCTGAAGAAGTGAGTGGTTTGTCCCAGGGACCCAGCTGTGCAGGAGTGGGGCCAGGGCTCCTGCCTCTGTCGATGGCCCGCTTCCACTCGTAAAGATCCGCTGGGTCTGCTCGATGGGCAGGGCTTGCACCCTCAGCCGTGGGAAGCCTCTGAGAATGCTGCTGCCGCCTTGCTGCAGCGCTTTGTGAACCTTCGATGGCCTTTCCCACCCCGAACCTGCCCACTGCCCATGACCTTCACTCTGCCATCCTGCTGTGGTGCTGTACTGTTCTGTCTGAGCTGCAGTCTGATTTCAACAGAGCAGCCAGAGCGTGTCTATTAAACCTGCCTGTCATTTCAATGTCCTTCTCACGACACTGTCCAGTAGCTTCTCTTTGATCTAGAGGAGAAGTCAAAGTGTTAGAATGACTCAGTGCACAGTCTGCCCCCTCCATTGCTGTCCCCCTGGCTTTCCAGAGCTCTCGCCCCTGCTCACTGCACTCCAGACTTCCCAGCTTCCTTGCCCTTCTCCAAGCACCTTAGAAATGCTTCTGACTCAGGGTCCTTGCCCTTGCTGTTTCTTCCGTCTGGACTCCTCTTTCCCCAGGTAGCCGTGTTGTTTGGTCTCTTGCTTTCTCCAAGCCTTCGCTCAAACATCATCTCAGTGAGCCTGCCCTTGACCATCTCCTTTAACATTGAGCCCTTCCCCACCTTCCTCCCCCCTCCCCCTCCCCCTTTCCTGCTTTATTTTTCTCCTTGGCCTTTACCTTCTTCTGAGATGCTCAATATTTTACTCGTTTGTTTTGTTCACAGTTGGTCTCCCCTCACTAGAGTGAAAGCTTCAATCTACTTCGCAGGAATTTCCCCCTCTGTTTTGGGCAGTGCTGAACCCCAGAATGAATGGGCAAAGGAATGGTCCTCTCTTCCCACAGCAGCACTGTGTCTACCCCCCCAGGCTCCCCACTTTGCTAAATGACTACCAGCTTATCAGCAGAATTATTCAGTAAATGGGTGCTCCCTCTAGAATGATCTCCCTCCAAACACGTTAATGGTAAGCTTCAGTGAAGTTCTCGAGGGTTCACAGACCCCTTAAAGAATTCAAGAAAAGCTTTGGATACTCTCCCTAGAGATATGTTCAGACAAAACAATTTTGAGTACAACTGCAGGGTATTTTCAGAACCCTGTAGTTTGTCTATATGCCCCAGGTAATGAATCCCAACTTTAAGTTTTCAAAGTCACTCTAAGGACAATTCTGCAGAACTAAGACCTCTTCCTGCCCAAATCTCCCTTCTTGACTCCCTTTCTCCCTGATGGGAAAGAGCCCACATGGTCTCCACGGCATACCCACCTCCTTCCCCGTGGCTTCTCCTTCGCCATGGCTGGTCCTGAGCATTCCTCTCCTCTGATTCAGGAACCAATTCCCGTGTGGGTGTGCGGAAGCTTCCTACACATCATAGACACCCGCTGGGCGCCCTACAATTTAACTCAGTTTTGACACTGTCTGCCCAGAGATAGCATCAGATTCCACAGGTGAAGGGCTCAGTCCTACAAGACCCACCCGAGTCTCCCACACACTTTGGATGCCGATCTCCAGTCCAGATTGTCACCTGTGCTTCTGGATGACTGGCTCTAACTGGGAGGGGCCAGCGACTGCCTCCTTGGATCTGGTTAATTTGCCAGCGTGGCTCATAGATCTCAGGGAGCCAGTTTACTCACTAGATGCCAGTTATTATGAAAGGATATAACTCAGAAATGGCCAGGTGGAGGAGATGCATAGGGCAAGGTATGGGGACAGGGACACGGAGTTCCCTGCCCTCTCCTCACATCTCCATGTGTTCACCAACCCAGAAGCTCTCTGACCCCTGTCCTTTTGGGTATTTATGGGGGCCTCAGAACACAAGTATGATTGATGAAATCATTGGCCATTGGCATCTGACTCAACCCCCAGGCCCTCTCTCTCCTCTCGACTTCCGAGTTCGGGGGCGGGGGACTAAATTTCCAACCCTCTAGTTACATGGTTAGTTCCACCAGCAACTAGCCTCCCATCCTTAGGTGCTTTCCAAAAGATGCAAGATACCTTTGCAACTCTCCCACAAGGCATTCCAAGAGTTTTAGGAGCTCTGTGCCAGGAAAGAAGTCAAAGGCCAAATATATATTTCTTACTGTTGATCACACTCTCACGCTTTATAGAAGTTCTGAAAGCATTTCCAGGTTTTCCCAATTTCAGTAGGAGGAAGGGAAGAGAAGAGATCACGTCTCCACTTCTGGTGATTGTTCCCCGGCTCACAGCCTCCCATTTTCTCCAAAACACCTCCTCCTTTCAGTCAGAGGTCTCTGCCTTCCCTGGATCCCCACATTGAAACCTGGTCTCTGTCCCACCCCCAGGGAGCAGGCAGTTCACTGTTGCAAACTCAGTCGGGACCTGCTCTGCCTTCTTCCTCTGAGAGCTGGCCATCTGAGGTCTTCCTCAGGTCGCTGCTGGGTGCATAAGCACCTCACTAATTTACGTAGCTCTGCTGGCCCAACCGGATTCTAAGACCCTGGGTAGGTCCCACGTGGTAGGCATCTTTGTGTGTTTGCCAACTCTAGGCATGGAGTATATAAACATTGACTTGTTAAATGCCTAGGTTCCTTTGTTTCCTCTCATTTCTTAAGTTCTCTGTGTCCTTTGGAGCGTGATTTCACAATCTACCGCACAGTTCAGCGGTGAGAGTGCTGCTTCTGTGACTCTGTTGTTCTGTGTGTTCTGGTTCTTTCTCTCTAGCTAAACTGGACACTGAGAGGGATGGTTTTTACGTATTGTCACGGATTCCCTCATTCCCCTCCCCTCAGATCCTAACACCAGACAGATACAAATTCTTTATTTACTCAACAAATGTTTCTTGAGCATGTGTCATATGTCAAGCATTGTGCTAGCTCCAGGGGTACAACAGAGGAGGTGGGGGAGGGGAGAAGGGGAGGAAAGAGGACAGAAAAAAAGGACAAAGTCTTTTCTCTTAAGGAGCTTTCAGTATGGTAAAAGACACCGAAGTTAATTTTTAAAAAACCAAGGAGAATCATGAAATTACAACTTTGAAAAGTACCACAAAGTAAAAAGACATGATAACGTGTGTGTGTGTGTGTGTGTGTGTGTGTATGTGTGGGTGGATATTGTGTTTGTCAGAAAATCCAGGGAAGCCCTGAACTAGTGATGATTAAGCTTAAATATGAAGGACTAATAGAGGCTAACTAAGCAGAGAAAGGGGAAGAGGAAGTGTATCAGTCAGAGAAGTAGCATGTGCAAAGGTCCTGTGACAGAAAGAACAGGCTCTCGATTGAGAGGAAGGGAATAAAGTGGAGATACCCTTGTTAAAGATGTTGGTCTTCATTTTAAGGTGGCTTGGAAGAGGGCGAGGGTGGTGATGGTGGAGATGGAAAGAAGTAAATAGGTTTGTGCAACATTTTAGAGGTGACATTGCCAGGAGTGAATTCAACATGAAGGAGAACGCGGTGTCCAAGATGAGTCCTCTATTCCTGACCTATGAGTAAATGGAGGCATGAACACTTGGTTGGCAGCATCGCACTGCCCAGGGCCTTTCCTGGCAATCCTCCCGCTCCTGCCCATCAGCAGCCCCCACCCCCACCCCAACCCCAACCCCCATCTTCTACCTCAGCGATGCTAAGAGTCCATTTCAAGTCTCCTGGGCCTGTCTGGTAGGCCTGCTGCACTATTTGCTAAATCATCTTAATGGGAGGGGGGAATCATCTCAGTTAATCCAACAAGCCACCTCTGAGGCCGTTCTCTCGGAAGGCTTGACTCACCCACCTGCAGTTGTGAAGGCGTTTCCAGAGAAGGGTGGGCTGCCTTCATCAGCGCTAAGTGAAATCCTGTGTTCCTGTCAGACGCTTTGACATATGGGGCAGTGCTGGTAAGGGCTTGTGTGAGGGTTTTTTTAAACCCACCTCTGTGGTATCCCTTGAATGGCAGTTGACAATTAGCTGCTAAGTAAAAGGAGGCACTTATTTTTATTGTGGGCCCTGACAGCTTTATGTTCACTCTTTAAAAGCCAAGAGTCATGTGTGTAAAGGTGAATGGGGAGGGGAAGT